GACCGTGAGAAAGACGCGCGTCACCAACGGATTTTTAAATTCCAACGGTCGGCGATCCATTGGGAACTTCAACAAGTCTACCCACGCCTCCAGGCACACGGCGGACGCGGCCCGGTTCCCCGCCCCCACGCCTTGCAATAGAAGGTCGGCGGCTTCGATACTGAGGGGCCGATGGAGGGCGAGATGGGCACCCATTATCCAGCCTCGCATCCAGGGGTGACGGACCAGGGAGGCAAAGGCCCGAGCGGCCTGGTAGATCGATCCTTCCTGGCCCTGCGTGATCGCGAACAGGGACATGTACACTGCCAGCCAACGAGCCAATGCTTGGTCCTTGCTGGCCGCAACCTCGTCCTCGGCACCCGCCCTGCCCACGACCGCCTCGACCATGTCCTCCATGGCGCCCGTCACGCGCCCCAGAATAACTTCCTCCACCCCAGCTTGCAACACCCGGATTCCCCCCTGCAAAGCCTCCGCGATGGCTGTCAACGGCTCCCACCCCATCCCCCCGTAGCGGGCCCAGGCCGTTAGTGCCCGCAAGCCCACCACCAGGACGCTTCCCGCCTCCGAACCTGCCCCAGGCCCGGGAATTTCCGAAGCAAGAAATGGCGCGAAAGAAAGCGTGTCCAGCGCCAATTGACAAGCCGTCGGCCCCAAATCCGGGAGTACGCTTGCGACCAAGCCACCCCCAAAGCCTTGCTCGGCGTTTTCAGCCAAGGCGGTCAGGACCAGGAGGCTGACTACCGGCTTCCATCGGCCAGTGGAGAGAGATTGCTGCGCTTTGTTCACACTCCCTGCGTGGGATAGGGCCATGGAGATTAATTGTCGGGTCGCGGCATGGGCTTCCCCATTCCTGTCCTCAATTGCCACAGCTTGTGCGACCACGACCGAAATCAGTTGATTCACGGCTGGATCAGCTATCAAAGTGCTGAGTACACCGCGGGAAGAATTAATTTGAGGGGGTATTTCCGCACGCTTCTCTGCGTAAGCTATGAGGGTCTCCCAAGTGCCCTTGGCAAGCTGGGTCCGTGTTTGTGAAGGCGTGAAGTCCCATTGTTGCCGGACATTTCGACGAAGCACACATGCAATGAAATATGCGTGCGGTGTACCATCTGGAGAACTGGTAAAAAGATCCAAGGATACCTTCCACAGCGACAAAAGTGGGTCAATGCCTGCGCTCAAATCCGGCGTCGACAAGTCCTCCAGGAAGCGCCTCGCCTCTGCGTCCCCTTGGAGGGAGAAGTCAATGGCCCGAACGAGCGTCGCACGGTCGCTGTCATCGGAAGATGTCATAAAATTTGACCAGCTTCCTAGTGTACGGGTGGAATAGACGATGCTCGGATGATGAGTGCTGTGTGGTTTGGGCAACGAGGAGGAACAGGGTATGAAGAAAAAACCTCCTACCCCATGAATGTGACGGGACGACTTTGCTGTCCCTCCCGGTCAAATCTTGATAATTTCTCTTGCCAGGTACTAAGTCCTCGACAAAGTCGCGGACTAAAGCTTCCATTATAGCAAAATTGTCCTTTCTTCCTCTTCCGCGTACCAGGGGCTCCTAAAAACCGTTACACGGGCGTTTCCGATCTTTTCGACGACCCTACAAGCAAGAGATTAACAATGGCAGGAAGACACGAAAGCCGCAGTGCGCGACACGAATGGGAGATCGTTAAGGATAAATCAATGATGGTGCACGGAGTGAGCGCCATGCGAAGCGAGGGAGGCCAAAGGATGTCGATGAAGCGCTTCATTTTTTGTTTTGACAACCTCCCCAGAGGTCCGCCTCTACGTTGCTCCCGCGTGGTCGGCATTCATCACTTCATAATCTCTCTCAATCAAAACCTTGGAGCTTTCAGTTGATCCCATCCCCATGTCAATGATCCTACAGTTTAGGTGAACAGAATCCCCATTCTTCAAAGATGGTGCCCCAGTCCCACGGTATACCGTTCATGCGAATACGAATATCGTTTGGCATACTACGATGTTCCAGCTTACGCAGGACACAATTTTTACGCAACAAAGGCAATATTTTCCCCACAGTTATGGCTGAGGGGTACTGGCAGACAGTGTCGGGAAGTTGGAGGAGAAGGAGCCGTCCAATTCTACCGTCTGTTGCCGCGTCGCAAGCATAGCATCGGAGGGCGCCGTCTTGGTCATGGACATGTCCGTCTTGGGCGTCGCAGTGATCCGTCCCCCCGTCCAGGTCCCCAAACCTGCGCTCCCAGCGCTACTGCTTCTTCTCACCCTGCCTTCCATTTTCTCTTGGGCCACTTCCAAACCCGCCTTGGCGATGAAAAGCACCAATTTGTCGATGGCAAAGGACCGCTCCATCCCTTCCTCCCGGACCGTATCCTCCCTCATGTCCAAGATCGAGGACGCTTTCTTCCCCTTGATAATCACGTCGGTGCGCATGCTCGCTTTTGCCACCTCTGGCCGCATGGCCGGGCGAGGGGCGGCATAGGGGACAAAGACCAGAGTATTGGCCCAGGAGACCCCCAGACATTGGCTCGCGCGCCGACGCACGTGGGAGACTTTTTTCAGGGACCAATTAAAGGGATCCGCCGCAACCAGGGGCTCTACTTTGTCCATGCGGGTCAGGACCACCAGGGGGTTGAAATTTTGCGCCTTGAGCTGTTGAATCGAAGCTTGAAGGCCAGCCATCTTGGCAGGCGCCGTCTCCACCTCGTCGGCCGCCACGAAGACCAGCGCCCCATGCCCCGCAGGCAAGAGGCGTTCCATGGAAGCTTTGTCTGCGTCCGTGGGAGCCAGGACCATGGAGGATGGGATCTCTGTCACACGGGCCGTCAGAGGCGCCCGGAAACGAGGACTGATCGCTTCCGCATTGAGCTCGAGGCGAGTGATCTCGGTGGTCGGTACTATCGAGGTCTGAGGGGGGGGCATGTCCGTTTCTGCCGAAGCCAAAACGTTGCGCAGGCTCTCGACAAAGGTGGTTTTGCCCGCCTGCTCCGCCCCCAGAATGTACAGAAGTAAAGGGGCGGTTCCCAAGGAGGGGGAAAGCGGGATGGGAAACAAGTCTCCCGCAAAATCAATACCGTCAAAGGCGACGTATTGCCGCAAAATGATCATCTCTGGTCCGCCAGGAGTCACGCTGGGACCCGTCACCCGGAGCTCGATGTCGGCTTTGACGTCCTTTAACGTCATTTTGGAACGTTTCGGTTCCGCCAATAATTCCACCGTGACGACGTCCCCCGGGGACAAGCCATCGGGCACAGAGACAGAGCTTTCCTTCCAGTACCCGTTATCGGGCATGAAAACCTTCGTTCCCGGCTCGAAAGACTTGTGGATAGGGACTTGTACTTCCACTTGCAATGCGGCCACATCCCCGGCAGCGTACAGGTGGGCAGGTCGGAGCAGGCTGATCTCCGCCTTCCCGCTTATCTTGTTGGTTGTACGAGACCTGAAGGCCCTTCGCAAGGGGAGCCTGGTTTTCTGCAGCACATCTTGTTTTCGTGCGTGGCTTGACTGTCGGTCTTCCTCGTCCACAACATTGTCGCCACTCGAGGATCTGGCAATGAACCCGTTCTTGCCGTGAATAGGACAGTCCTCTTTGATACGACTCGAGCGCGGAACCTGCCACCAGAGAGGAGAGACAAGTTAAGTATATCTGTGAGTGGAAGCGCCTCATTTTCATTAAGGGATTTCGTACGACTCTGTAGTAAGCTGCAAGGGGGGGAGAGAAACGTACGTGACCGATGATATGGCATGCGGAAATAAAAGCAATGCAAGCATATCAACACTTAATGTTTAATGGACAATGGATAGTCCTATACAATGAAAGTCATATACATATCACGCTGCGTTGCTCCAGTCTACTTTTGCTCATTACCGCTGTCCCTCTCCTCGGGTACTACATACCTGTGGCGTGTTGATTTGCTCGTCGGGCAACCGGGAACACCTTCCCCCCATGGTGTCTTGCCTGTGTACAAAGAGGAAACGTGTTTGAGCTGATAAGTACGTTCAGAAACGAGGATGCGTCGACTACCGAATACGATGGGCTATCAACATTAAACAAACTAGCCGGTCCCGAAGAGGAAGGGTTGGGGGATGCAAATTCTCTATTAATGGGCGTTGCTCCCGCGGACACCTGCGTGTCTGACAGCCTGACATATTTTTCCAGGGGCGAAGAAAATATCAATACCATAGAAAAACATATGCATATGTGTGATTAAGATGCTCGAATGGGCCTATATTTGCTGTATCGGAAGAGTTTCCAGTCCACCTTTTAGACAAGCAACGGCGCGTACTTCTTAGGGAAGGGAGAAACGTTCAGCAAATTCAAATTTTAAAATTGTCGTGTCGTTGTTACCCAGAATCTGAACCTTAAGTATATATTCTTTATTTACCCGTGACTTCCTTTTGTTCCCCGCCTAATTTCATTTAATTTAATCGTCAATATATTCATATTTGGTTTGCATTCAACCAAAGGCTTACTACAGTGTACAAGTGGTGACCGCTCACATTTTCCCTCTCGTGCTATCTTGAAGACTGCGATCCATGCTTTCACACGTACGATCTGAAGACATACATTAAATTATGAATTCTTTGCCTTACTGAGATGGGGTGTGGATGCTACGTTTGGAAAAAAAGGATATTTGGCACAATACAAAGTCCATACTCGGAGGCACGGATTCCTTTTTACTGAATCCTCTTACAATGCGATGAAGAGTAGCGCATCCACGCATTCTCTAATGGCCACACAGTTAAAAAAAAAACAGTTTAAAAAAAAAGAAAAGAAAAGAGCGAATTAAAATTAAAAGTAAGCCTCGATGTATTGATTAGGTCTCCTACTAGAATGCTAAAATTTAGAAAATCCAGATAATAAGAATTAATCCGAGTGCTTTGCTCGACCACTCAGCTAAATATTGCATGTCCGTCTTCCACAATTGCTGTCATCTGATTTAAGACAAAGGCGGACTGAATAAGGATGGTATATGCGGGTCGCACTGACTCGCGGAACTTTCAGTGACGCCATGTCGCTTACCCAAGTTATCACCAACGTGTGTCTTGAAAAAGAGCAGGCACTCATGTACTTCATTGGACATGCAGAAGGCTTATTTTCTACAGCGTTCCTCCCAACTCTGTCTCATATCACCATAAGATCCAAACAAAACTCAAATATAAGATTCAAGCCTCCAAGCTATTTCGACTTTCCGGGAAAAACCTTGGGGGTATCTCGAAAAAGGGAAGAGCGGCAAATACATTGAAGCGTTAAAACAAGTCAAAAGGAATGTCTCTTAGATTTATGAGTTCTTATTCCAAAACGTGAGGAAGTTACCCCTCTGAACACACGGACTGGTGTGAAAATGAAATAAACCGCAGGACAAAAGCTAGAGAGATAGTGTAGGAGAGAGAAATGTCCTCCATTTGCGCTGTAAGTTGGCCAAATAGGACTAAGGTGCGCCAAACGCTACAAAATGAAGTCGAAAGCAGTTAACTTATTGCTTCTCTTCATACGGGCGGATCTTGTGCGTGCGGAGAGTGCCACTCCTGCCAAACGCGGCCCATATTGATTAAAGATACTTTTTGGCACGCAGAAGCTGCCTCTCCTTTCCCCTGCCACTGGATGCCTCGTTGGCAGGAATGTTCAGTTTAGAACGGATTAAGACAGTGTCATTATACTAGGCGCATCCGCTGTCCAATCATCGCATGGGCTGCGGGTGCCGTTGCCGATCACATCAGTGACGCGACTGCACTCGCTCGGCCAGGCGTTGCCCTCCCATCGCCCCAGACCGGATCTCTTTGCAACACTGAAGTCGACAAATTGCGCAAAGCATTGAAAGCGGGTAATTCTTACGAGGGTTGAATACTTTGGGAGGCGTTTAACTGTGGTCCAGGTCTCCTGAGTGGACATCGACCTCATGCCTGACTTTGGCTTTCAGGTCAACCCGCTTGGGAGGAGGTTCTTGCGTCCATGTCATCTCCTTTGGACTGTCACATTCGTAGGAACGGGAACGGTCCACCAAGAGACGGCATGTATATATAGCTGTGAAGGATAGGTGCAACTTTGGATGATGATGTTGTCATTGAGACTCAAAGTGATGACTCTTTATGTATTGAGTTGCTGTAGACTCCAGTATGCCTACCTTCAACCCCGTTTGCTGCTCGTCGGCCCCTTTCCTAGAGTTTCTTTTGAATTTGATGAATCATTTCTCGACATTTGTCTATTCATACACAATAATTCTAGCCATAGGCGTCAGCATAGCCTTTTGACTTCCAAGACCGCAGCAGTTGACTTGATTCCCCTTCGGAAGATCGTGATTCAAAGCTTTCAAGAGTCTAGTACAGCATGAGAAGGGAGCAGGACGGCAGTATAAGCAGTGCAAACGGTCTTGGCAGAGACATAGAGGCCCATGGACCAGATACCATCCTTTATTATGCACGAGCTGGGGACCTGGACGGAATGATGGCCATGGTACAGGAGGACCCGAGCCAAGTGAGGAATAAGGGGCGATACAATGCGCGGGAGATTCACAAGCTGTTATTACTGCGAGAAGGGTCTCACTCGTCTTTTTTTCCCTTCTTTCCAGGCGAATTACCAGCGGATCGTCACCCCCCTTATGTGGGCGAGTTACTGTGGGCACGCGCACATTGTCTCATTCCTCCTGGAATGCGGCGCGCACATCGACCAGGCGGAGGAAGGAAAATCACGCACGGCCCTCTACCTAGCCTCGGGACGTGGCCACGTCCATGTGGTGTCCCTCCTTCTGGAAAAAGGCGCGAACCCGACCTTGAAACGTAAAGGTGGCTGGTGCCCGTTGTCGGTTGCGGCCAGCGAGGGCCACGTGGGCGTGGTCCGCGTCCTCTTGGCCAACCCCAGGGTAGACGTGGACTCGAGAGACGACGATGGGAGCACGGCCTTGTACCGGGCCGCCCTTTGGGGCTGCGCAGGGGCGATTCGAGCATTGTTGAAGAAAGGCGGCAACCCCAGGATACCCGGAGGGGGCGGTTTGTTGCCCGTGGGCGTGGCACGTGCCCGAGGCTACCAGGAGTGTGTCGATGTCCTGGAGGGGGAGGAGAGGGTGTTTGGACTCGCAAAAGCCAGGGCTTTGCGGCGGGTGCGCGCGAGGGTGGTTTGTGAGGAGGGAAGAAGGGG